GTGGAATTTTCATAATCCTCTGATGGACAGATACACTGAGTAAAACATAAAGAACCTGTGGTCACAGATTTTCTGCCTTGCAAGTAAGCATGTGTGGCAGGGGAAGACTTGAAACTTACTGATCTCGGTTTGTTTTGGTAATGGAAAGTTAGAAGTAATGGCTGATTTGCTCCACCTACCCCTTGTTCACTTTGTACCATTAGAGCAAACATACCACATCAAGAAGATGATCAGAAAAAAAAGCACAGAAAATCATATGTTAAATGCATATTATTAAAGGTTTGAATAGGAAGCAGTTGGAAGCAGTAAGAAAACTGTGTAGAATATGTACATTATTGTCCAGTCAGTCACAATGAGGCAGTGTACACAGACCACAGGGAAAGACTATGCAGAAAGAATTAATGGGGGGCTTCCTTATTTTTCACATCTGTGGCTGGGCCTTTGCTGGAATGACCTGCAGCTGAGGCAAAGTCGGTCTGTAGGACTCAGTACTCGTACTGGTGATAGGTTAATAGGGTTGTTTTTCACTTGCTTGACATAGATACCATGCTGGAACTTGGAGTAGTCTTTTCTGCTGTTCTTAAGTCTGCTCTCTTTCTTCCTTCAAGAGAGTTCTAGAATGGATTATCTGCAAATTGTGGCAAAGCTCCAGTTTGCTTATGACCCTGTGCTGTCCAAGGTGCCTTGCTGTCCTCAAGAGAAGCGAAATCTGTGGCTGGGCATGCAGAAAGGAGTTGTTAAAAGAGATGCTGGCTCTTTTCTCTCATGCTCTGGCTGGATACCTCCACCTGCAGCGATGATGTTACTGCTCCAGTCTCAGCCTGAGAGGCACTAGTGGGGAAGGACCAGTGCAACTTCTCTGTGGCACTTGTGAAATTTTGACCCAGCCTAGTGGTGGCTCCTGGCTGTGGCATGTTGCTTGGATGCAAAGTGCAATGAAATGTAAGTATGCTTGTTAATGAGGTGTGTCCTGACAAGTGTATGCAAAGCTCAGCTGATTCAAATCAGCTGAGTGCCTTCCATTGTGCTAGGTTTGTTTTCGCTCACCAGTGTAAGTATGCTTTCTAGAATGTTTCTGCAAATAAGAGTGAGGTAGAACCTGGGTTCGTGTTTGAAGAAGAAACAAAAGCAAAGATCTGATCAAAATAAACTCCCAGATTCTAGAGTTATATGGCAATTTCAGTTGTCTCAAGTCTCAGGCTGTACTGTTCTTCAGAGCAGTATTAGGAATGACTGTAACATAGAGCAGTAACTCACCAGGACTGCATCCAAAATAATGCCAAAAGCTACATTAGTGCAATCTTTTGCTGCTGTGTCATGAGCTGACATGCAGAATAATGAAGTATCTGGGTGAATGTGGGGGGAGAAATGCTCTTCACCTCCAACCTTTTCTCTGATTCAAATGTTGACTGAAAAAGCTATTTCTCTTACATTCTCATGGGAATACATTTATTGATATGGCTCCACGTATTTTTTATCTAGTTATTCATATCCTGGTGCATGAGACCACAGAGACTTGCTAATGTTCTTTCTGACACGTTTGTTATGTGTCAACCCAAGGCAACAGTTCAGGGGAGGATTTTTGCCTGGAAACAGCTGGCAGGACAGGCCTTTTTGTGCGTGCTCTGACAATTTGGGTACTTGGGCACGTGTTACTGCTTCACAGACTTCAGGGGACATTGAATCAAAAAGATGTAAATCATAAGAGTTACTGAACTAATCCAGCCTTACTCAGCCTAGAGCAGGTAGATCTACAGGTTGGTGTGACAGCTCATCAGTGGGATAACATAGGTTTGTATCCTTTTCCCAAGCTTCACAAATACTCTAAAGGGAGACCACCTTTCAGTTGCCCGGTGTGTCTGTTCATCATATTCAAACAGAAGTAGTAGGGACATGAAGAGGCTTGTACTGGGGACTTGTAAAACTGAAATGATGTTACATAGAACAGACACAGCTGGTGATGCTGCAGTGGCCTCTCTGAGATAATGTGGCAACTGAACATGGTATGTGAAGGGTTTTATGTAGATCTTTGGGTCAGGCTAACCAAGTGACAAAAAACCGATTCTGTGGTCTCTCAGTAGAGCATTCCTGCTGGGGAAGGACTGAAACATAAAAAGTGAAGTTCTCATTTAGAAGTGAAGGCCAGGAAGTTAGTGCAGTCTCTGAATTTGTTAGAAATTTCCTCCCCTTCTTGAGATGAGTGGTGGAGATGTTTGGTTTTTTTTGGTTTGCTTTGCTTTGCTTTTTTCGAGGAGAACAATAGTTTAAAATTACTACATGTAGAAGACCAAAAATAAGTCCCACTAAAAGGCAAATAATTTCTTTCTGCTGTTGCAGTTTAGCCCTGGACAGCAACTAAGCCCCCATTAGCCACCTATTTATTCACTACCTTCCTGGTGGGATGGGGGAGACAAGTGGAAGGGTAAAAGTGAGAAAACTGGTGGGTTGAAATAAAGGCAGTTTAACAGTAAAACAAAGCTGCATGTGCAAGCAAAGCAAAACAAGGAATTCATTCCCTGCATCCCATGGGCAGGCAGGAGTTCAGCCATGTCCAGGAAAGCAGCGTTCCATCACATGTGACAGTGACTTGGGAAGACAAACACAATAACACCAAACATCTCTCAGGGTGTCCTGCTCGCATGTGGGTGCATCCACAGGTCACAGTCCCTTTGACTCCCGTTTACACTGGAGTTCCAGTCTGTCCAGCACAGCAGCACAGAAACAGCAGCGATGCCCTGGCCACCTGCCAGCCCAGGTGCATCACCAGGGCCATTATCCAAATGTTCCCAGGATCAGCAGAGTAAGGTAATTGGCAGCACAGCTCTACAGCCAGCAGGGAAAGCAAAAAGCTGCCACTCATGAACTCTAGACTCAGTAAAACAAGCCCCATGAAAGCACAGGAGCCTCATGATTAATATCTGAACAGCAATAGCAGCTATGACCTCCAGCACATTTCAATCAAATTTGTCCTTATCATGTAGTGGACACACCATTATGAAGACCAGTTTGCAGTGAGAGAAAGGATAGAAATGTTCTTAGTTGCTCTAGTAGTTGTACAGGAGACTGTGCTGAAACTCTGGCTGTAGAATGCTTAGTTTGCTATATCCTCTCTCCTGAAGAAGCATTTTGTGATGGCTTTGAGAGTAAATAGAGCAAGGAGTAGTAACCAGCAAGGCTGGTTAAAGAACCCTGTGGATTCTGGTATGCGAGTCTGATCTCTTTGATCCCTGATGGGAAACTGCAATCAAAGATGTGACATATTCTTCTTTCTGGCTGGAGACCTGACCAAACTGGAGGAAAGGTAAAGAAACATAGTGAACAGAACTTAAAAAGAACATGTCCTGAATACCATGGACACCAGTGAGCTGTTACTAACCGAGGTCACATGTATGTTGGTACCTCTGAAATTTTTACTTGGCCTGAATCTCGTGAAGAGAGGAAAGGAAGATGAGCGTGTAGTCCCTTTGTCTGTAAGACATTTAGTAAGAGCCAAGCAGAGCTGTGGCTTTGCGGATGGTCCTACCCTACCACGAGGGTGCTGGTGGAGAAGCTCTTTGCACGTAGGTTTGTGTGTGCAGGTTCTCAGGGCTTGCTGAGCTGCTGCAGAGATGAGATGTAGCTGAGTACAACTTGCAGGCAGGCAGTTGACGTGCACTGTGGAAACTCAGGTACCAGGAGAGCTACAAATATCAGCTGAAGTCAGTGTGGTTTTCTGCTTGCTGGCCTCTGGGTAGTCAGGTTACCAGAAAGAATTAGCAGTAATTTTGTTTGTTTCCGAATTGTTTGTTCCTCTAGCTCTTGTCTCTGAATTCATTTGCACTGGGTGTCAGCTCTGCAGAATGAAGACTGTTGGGACTAAACAGCTGTACATGACAACAGATGGAGAGAATGGAGCTGAGTCTGTAAGAGTGAAAGGAGCAGTTCCGTGGTGCTGTGCCAGCAGAATTGTTGTCTGTATCCTGCCAGTGTCCTGCAGAAACCTCCCCAGGCAGTGATTTACACCAGGTTACGGGCTGCACCAGGAAAGGCTGAGGGGCAGCAAGGTAGTGGTATTAAAACCTGCACAAGAGAATGAGTGAAGTGACATGGCATTTCCTGTTATGTATAAAGCTAGAGAACTACTCCAAGTCTTAGCTTGCTGAGACTGAAAAGCATGATCTTTTTATTACTGGTGTTTAGGCCCTGACTCCTGCAGTAACTGGTTCAGATGTGAAATGAGGCTCACAAAGCTTGAGATAGGGTCAGGCACAGGTAGAAGCAGTGAATGAACAATAAGGATCTAGGTTATGTTCCACCTTGGAGTTCCTTGTTCTTTCCCCTCTCCTCCTCACTGTACTTGTCATGCAAACCTAACTCAGCCTTAGACAGGTATTCTTCTACGGCTCAGAGGCTTAGCCATGGCTGTATGTCATCAAATGAAAGATTAAACTCAAGGGCTCCCTTTTGATAGAACCAGTAAGATGTGTTTTAAGAAATTAACATTAGAGAGCTGTGCTCAGTGGGATGCAGATCTCTGGATTATGCCAAGAGGTAAATGAGTGTGACATTTAGATCTCAGGATTGTAATAATTTCTGTGCTTCATGTAGCAATAACTGCCAAAGCTCAACTATTCTCTCTCTCCCTTTTTTTTTTTTTTTTTTTAATCTGTCTGTGAGACACTTAAAAATTCTTATAGCAAAAGTGAGAGTTGCTCAACTTCAGTTCTGTGTGATCATTCTGGGAAGGTTGCTGCTCCTTATTACACAAGACAGTTTATTCTTGATTTATTTTATTCTGTAAGACATGCTACTTATATACTAGGATACAAAGTATTTGAAATGGAATGACCTCAGTTTATGCAATATTGATTAATTTCCAATTGCATATATGTTAGACTTGGTCTTACAAAAAAAAATTGAAACTTGCATGAGTGATTACAGCATCTGTAGTTGCACTACAGAGAGAGATGATGAAAGACACAGCTGACAAAGAGGGGGTAGGATTCGCCCTGCATGCCGTGTTTCTGCACAGTTACACATGGCTGCACTGTAGATGTTTGCTTCCTTCTCCTGAACATTTTGGTATCGGTGAGTTCTTGCTGCATGCCACGTTGCTGAGACATATTAGGACTTCCTTTCATCTCTGCCAAGTGCTGAGACACTTCTGCAGATGGAAGCTGCTGTGCTTGGTACTAGTTTCTCATTGTCCTAGGAAACAAGACAATAGTCTTAAGTGGGAGGAAGAAGCTGTTGTGGAAATGCAATTGTGGTTTCTAGGAGTGTAAGAACAGAATTCCTCCCCTTTATTTGGTAGAGAAACAAAAATACCCTAAGGCTTTATGTCTGTGATGTCACACGAGCATGACCAGAGATTGCCATGCTCCATACCTACCTGGTACCACAGAAGGTGTAGAGCTGAAAAACAGCCTGCAGGAAGAGAAGGCCCAGGAGGCTCACAAGGCTGATGACACAGTGAAGAAATCTTCCAGTCTCTAAAGGGAAACAGTGGCTCATTAAGGTACATCTCAAAGGCTGTATTTACCTTTTGCCTCTGTCAGGATTTCATCTTCTGGACAATGCTTTCTTTGTGCTTTTCTTTGGATGGCCTAAAGCCTCCACCTATCAGCCAGTCTTTGGAAGCTGGAAGCTGCCTTTCAGTCTTCCTGTCACAACCTATGTGTTACTCAACAATTAGCAAGATGTAATGGCACCACTGGATTACAATACATAGATCTGGGTGATCATACCATTGACATCTTGGTGTGTCATGAACTTGTAAATAACCCTGCCTTTCCATTCAGCCCTGGAGGTGGGAGGGAAAACCACTGCATCCATCTCCTTGCCTAGAATTTCACAAAGGGCTTTACAGTTCTGACAGCACTCCTGTTTATCCTGTCCCCTCCAAACAAATTTCTCACTGGAAACTTAGCTGCACAGTTCCTGCTGCAATCCTGCCAGTGCCACTGATGTTTGCTCAGTGCACGAACAGAGGGCTAAACAGGCTTTTGAACACCAAATGCACAAAGGGAAGCTTACCTGAGGAGCAACAGGCCATGGACTCACTCCAGTTCCCAGCTGGGTGGAACACCATGCAGGTTGTGTCAGTCACACTGGTGTTACATGCTGGCAACCTGCTGAGAACGGTCACTGTCCTGTTGTTGTGGCTTTTTTCCTCAAGGGAGGAGTTGCTCTGTAGGAGCCACGAGACCTGAGCAGGAGGCTTCCCTGCCGCTGCCTCGCACACGGCGTTCCCGTGCTCATCGCAGTACAGGCTCAGCCTGGGGGGCACTGCAAAGCACCAGGAAGGGCAGAACATGGAGTTAGTTTCCTGCAGCTGGGATGGGGTGTTCTTGAACTCCACCCAAAATGAAAGCAGTGAAAAGAGGAGAATGAGGTTGAAGGCACCATCCCATGGCAACAACATGGATCCAAGTCACAAGAGACAAAGATCCTGTCTCTTTCTTCCTTTTGGACAACTCTCCCATGTTCAGGTGAGCCTTACCACAGCCATTCTCCCTATCCTCTGTTAGTGTATGGGAAATTGCTTCACAGCACTTGTTTCCAACTAGACAGTGGAAAATGGGACAGCAGAAGGGGGAAGAGTTTTGGGAAATGAGGATAAGGGAGACCAGACCTACTATCAATGAAATGCATGGGTTTATCCAGCAAGAATGATAGAGTCATAGAATGGCTTAGGTTGGAAGGGACCTTAAAGATATCTCCTTTCAACCCCATTGTGATGGGCAGGGACATCTTCCACTAGACCAGGCTGATCAGAGCCCCATCCAGCCTGGCCTTGAATGCTTCCAGGCTGAGGCATCCACAGCTTCTCTGGGCAGCCTGTTGCAGTGCCTCCCCATCCTCTCCATATGGGATTTCTTCCTAATAACTAATTAAAAGCTACCTTCCTTCAATTAAATAAAAAAAGCTCTACTTCTTACTCCACATTTCCCCAGTGAATGCAGAGAGGAGCTTCGTATGTCCAGGCCCAGACATGGTCCTTTGGAGAACTGGAAACAGAGAAGGAGTTCCTTACCCAGCACAGTCAGGTGGTATGTCCTGCGGAAATTCCCGTCTGGTGTTACAACTTCGCAGATGTAATTTCCCTCCTGGGCTATCCCCACCTGCTGTATCTCAAGGTCAGGACTCAGATCTGGTCTGAATTTCCAGTTTATGCATTCACTGCAGTTTGTTCTGTCTGTCGTGTTTGTATCAGCCCTGTATCCCAAGGTGCAGGGGCCTCCAACCTTGGGACTTATTTTCCATGTTAGCAGAGTTATATTTGATTGGTTAGGGCAGGAGAGCACTGAGCTGTCACCTACGGTCACTGACACTTCGTTGTTCCCCGAAGGAGAGAAGGAAAGAGAAGGACATGTGAGAATGTGCCAGGAGATGTCATAGCCTCAGAGTTATGACCTGTACTTCAAAAGGAAATATCTGCCCTGGTACAGGTGAACATGAGGCCCCGTCTGTGCCAGCCCAAGAACTGCACCTCTCTTCTTAAATGGGAAAAGATTTCCAAATTCATGGCTGTGTTCACAAACATTTGGCCTTGTTTTCAATCTCTCCCCAAGGCAGTGGATAAATGACATGACTGGGAAGCAGAATCTGAATGAGCTTCAGAGCCCATTTCTGTGGGAAGATCTCCCAGCTTGCTTTTCCCTCAGCATCACTGCCTAGTACAGCAGGAAAATTAATGTCTGGAGACATTAATATTCTGTGATTTACCCTTCTTTTGTTCTGGATATAAGCCACCCTCCAACTCACATCAAGCACAGGAGGCAATTTCTGCCCTGCCACTCCAAAGATTATGTGAACCAATTTCCCTGATTATAGTGGTGACAGTTAAAATAATTGAGGAGTATGGCATTCCACTGGAAAGTATGCATGCGTGTTTCCTATTAGATGAAGAGATTTCCAAGAGACTCAAAATCACTCCTCTGTGACCTGCCTCACCTGTGCTAACAAAAACAAACAAAAAAAATCAGGAATTTGCAAAATTAAAGTAGAGTAGGGAGTGGGGGGAAGTATTACAGCTGCATTTGCAGATCCCCTATTTTTGACAATAGCTCTGGTGAGTATTTAACTGAGTTTGGAGAGGGGAAAGAACCTTTGCATTAAGTCTTATTAAAACTTTCACCTGAACCTATTGTCAGAAAATCCCAATATACTTCATTTGTCAGGATAAGTCACTGATCCCTAAGAGTAAAGCTTGACATAGTGCTCAGACTAATCATAAAACCTCCCATCAGTTGTGGTTTTAATAAATTTGTTAATTATAATGAAAAATATTGTACTCCATGAAAATCATTACCAGTTTCCATCAAATCATTGAAAAGCCCAAGTTCAGCATCTTAGTGGTTGACAACAGAAAAAAATCAATTTTCAGCTAGAAATGTTTTGATTTGCAGGTTATTGGTTTTCCATCAAAAAGCCCCTTCAGCAATTTGTAAAGATCCCTTCCACTAGATTTTTCCTTCCCAAAGAAGGGAAAGCATCCCCCTGATAGAGTCTTTTCCTTTTCTGCCCTCAACAGACTTGATACCAAAGTAGAATCAGAAGTACCTGTAGCGCTTGTGACTGCAGTGATAGTGAGGACAATGGTGTAAATGGCCTTGCTGACAACTTGCAAAATAGTAGCTCTTCCTTTTGTGGGTGATGGGGGTTTCTTGCCCCATCCGGCTTGCTGTGAGCTCCCCAGCATGCCCTGCCAGTGATCCTGCAGCCAGAGTCTCTGCTCTTCCTCCCCTCCTGCACAGTGCAGCTACAAAGAGATGGTTCTTCTTCCTAGCATGAAGCTTTCTCTGATGAAAGTTGATGAACAGAGAGGAAACGCTTTTAGTATTTGCATTCTGACCAATGGCCTTCTGTCTAATGTTACTGTGGGAGGACAAACTCTACAGCAGAACTTGCACAAATCCTAAGAGCTATGATTTTTTAATATCTCATTAACAAAATGTTTGACAGGAGGCTGTTGTCTCCCATTAGACAGGTTTATTGGCACAAATCAATTATGGTATCTGGCAGCTCAAGTCAGGGGTCTCAAAAGAGGGATGAGGAATAACAAAAACCCTGGGCAGTTATAGTCATACAATGTGAAGTCCCCATCCCTCACTTGACAGTCTGGACCAACAGCAGTATTTGGATCTGGGGTCTTCTCACTCTTCAGTGGCTCAGTGTTTCCTTACCAAGCAGTTGCTACATGGTCATCTTCACATCCTCTCAGGTCGGTTTTGGTGGGGGTTTTGGTCAGTTCCATAGTCCATATTGTAACATGGTTGTTACAGTTCATATCACAGAATCATTTAGGTTGGAAAAGACCCCCAAGATCTTGAAGTCCAACCTTTGACTGATCTCTACCTTATCAACTAGACCATGCCACATCCAGTTGTTTCCTAAACACCTCCAGGGACTGTGACTCCACCACTTGCCTGGGCAGTTCAACGTTTAATCACACTTTCATTGAAGAAATTCTTCCTAATGTCCAACCTGAACCTCCCCTGGCACAGCATGAGGCTGTGTCCTCTCATCCTGACACTAGTTACCTAGGAGAAGAGACCAACCTCTACCTGGCTACAACCTCCTTTTAGGTAGTTGTAGAGGGTGACAAGGTCCCCCTCAAGCATCATTTTCTCCAGGCTAAACACCCCCAGCTGCCTCAGCTGCTCTTCATATGACATACTCTCTAGACCCTTCACTAGCTTTGTTGCCCAGCTCTGGACACACTCCAGCACATGATCTACGAGATCTTCACTCTAGGGATTAATTTTTAAGTAACATTTAGGCAACTTGCTTTATTATTAATTTTCAAGCTGTTAAATTCACGTTTCATATAATCCATTTTTGACTTACACAACATAACTATTGTTTAGATAAAGTTGAATTTGCAACCTATCAATTCTAGCTTCTTATTTCAAGCAAGCACTTAGCTACTTTCAAATAACATAAAATTTCAACACTTGCAGTGAGAATTTTAACATTAGGAATTCTCTTCCTACAACTACAGTCACAGCAGATTTATATATTTCCAGGGCTGTGTGAAATGTGGCTGGAAAGGCTTCTTCATTTCTGGGGTAAAACAGATGCAAGACATCCGTGAATGGAGGGAATTACATCCCAAATAATGAGTGCCATTTAACTGAGGAGAGGCACAACACCCGTGAACGACTCAAAGGAAAAGCTGGGTGAGTTCAAAAACAAAGTTAGGCAATCTATTATAAGATCATCTCTATTATCTATTATCTCTATTATATTCAATATAAGAAGTTCACACTTATATTCAAAAAAGACAGCAGCAGCAATATAGTGAAATCCTCATGTCTGCTGGCTGTTGTGGCTGCAATTATCCTTTCCAAAAAGTCACTTTGTCAAACAATTTCACACAGCTACCTTGCACCTTGGTCAATGCAGCTTCTGCTTCAGCGCTGTGTGGTTTGGCTGTTCAGTGCAACAACCTATCTCAGGTTTAGAGGCAGGTCCAAGATGCAAAGATCACATTTTGATCTCTATGGTGGGAGATATACCATAGTTTCAGCCATATAGTCTGTGGGTAAGGTAGTTCAGCACTAAAAGGCAGAGGCAACAAGGAACTATGGTCCAAGTCACAAAAATCAGAAGCTTTCAGGGTCTCAAACACTGCACACCTAATTGGGGCAATGCACCCAGGCACCTGGAAGAATGTAGGGCCATTTTAGAAAGTAAGACAGGAGAACTCCTGATAAACAGGCAGAATTCCTTACAGCAGGTGATGCAACCTAGTCCACTTATCTTTGGAGTAAACCCTTGTGCTTTTGGGTTTGGGGTTTTTTTTGCTAAAGATTCTGCCTAGTCTCTGATACTCAAAGTGATGGCTGGAAAATAATTTTCTTATTTCTCTAATAAGCCTTTTAGATTTTGAGTCTTTAGATTACAGTCTGGCCACAAGACAGCAACTTACTGCATGACTGTGAAGAATGGAAAGGTTTTATATGGCAAATTTGGCAGGGGGAGGACTGATGTATGGGTTTTTGGTTTTGGAAGACCAAACTCTCAGTCTGACACCAGAGCTGGAGCCAGACAGCATGGCAGTATTGTGGCAAGAGAACCACTGCTGTGCCCCAGGCAGCTGATCCAAGCCGATCCAGGTCCTGCTGGACTGGTTTGTTCTCCATCCACCTCCATCACAGACCTGTGGAGCTGGTTTCAAGTGTCCTTCACTGTTAGACTGCTCCCACCTCAGCTCAGAAGGCTTCTGTGTTTTGAGACCCTGTTTTACTTGAAGTCACAGATCACCATGAACGATTGCAGGATATCCTGTTTTACTTTATCTTGTTTCTTGCTTGCTACCTTACTTTTTTTAGCCATTCTGCAAGACCCCTATACAGGGTTCTACATGTCCACCATACCCCTAGCAGAGAGACTTGGCCTCCCCCTTCTGCCCTTGTTACAGACACACCAAGTGCTGGTTTTAGCTATCCTTCTGCTATGTGGCTGCTCAGTTGTTATTAGTGGTTCAGTCCCTGAAGAGCAGAGTTTTGCAAAAATTGGCTTCATGCTGCTGCTGCTGCTGCTGCTGCTGCTGCTGTGCAGTCCTTCCCTGAGGGCTTTTGTCAGGGCCCAGGCTCTAGCTGTGCTTTTTTCTCCATCTCCTGCTCACCTTGAAAAGTTGATTTTTGTTTGGGATTTTTGGGGGCTTTGTTTTGTTTTATTTTGTTTTTACTAGTTAAAAAAAAAAAAAACACAAAAAATTTTACTTCCTTTCAGAGATGGTTTTTTTGTGGTTTTTTGTGTTTTTTTTTCCTAGTATTGATGCGGTACGTTTGGGTTAACTTTTAAGGAAAGTGTTGTAATTCCTGAACTCGGGCACTTCCTTTTGGGAGTGAAAAGGAAGGCATTTGCAGAAGCTATTACTGGATTTATAAATTATCAGATAAACACTTTGCCTGCATCAGAAATGCTTTTGGTCCAGATCGTTAAAGAACAATGTAGTCTGAGCAAATGTGTTGTAGATCTGCAAGGGAGACCATACCCATCAGCCCTTACAGCCTAAACTCAGAACTGTGGCTACATGAGCCATCAGTGCCCCTGAACTGTGGTTGTGTGACAGTTTTTGGATGCTATGCCCACAAAAACTTCAGCATGCTAAATAGGGTAACCTCAAACGGATGAGGTAATAAGATTACATTTCTAGATGATTATTATAAACAAAACAAAGGTTTGTTGTGGCATCTCAGTCATGCAACACTAGGTTCCTGCATAAGCTGGTACTTTACTTGGAAACTTTTATTGTTTGAGCCTTTTGTTTGAGTCATTTTCATGCAATTCCACTGTTTTGGAACAGCCATGGATTGTATGAAGATAGGAGCTCTGCTGATAAACCTGGTTAAGAATGTGGAGTACAGAAATGTCCTCACATAGCTTCGTTTGATGTTCTGAATGTCTGCAATAAAATCCCTGTGTGATGTGAGGCATAACAAGTCTGGAAAGGAAACACATGGCACTGTCCTCCTTCATATCAATTCCTTTATTTCAAGATTTACCTCCTGCTACCCTGGTCATGGTCATGGTCATAGCAACCAGTACTAAGGAAGCAAACGTTTGTCTCGAGTCAGTTCTTGATGCAGTGGTTATATGGTCCCCATCCTATATGTACCAATCATAAGGAGCTTTTCCATTTGAGTGTCCTCCCCAGTCAGTGTTATTGGCACTACTTTCATTTTTTCAGCCTAGATTCAAGGAGTTTCTAATTGCTTTAGCACATTTAAGACACAGAAGTTCCTTCTTTTCTATGCACTCACAGCACTGCGTCCTGTGCTGCTGACCAAGTCTGACTCTGAGAAAATGGATGAAGTAGTTCTGTTTTCAGCTCTTTGCCTGAAAGCCTGAAGTGCAAAACCAAATGCTGCAGCACAGGTCAGATCAGATGCAAATAGAAAAAGTCAATAAAATTTAAGGTGAATACTGAAAAGAGAATTTCAGCTCAACAAAACCAGTAGAAACTACTTTTCAGCTGGGACCAGCAATATTGGCTGCCACATGGACAATAATCCCTCTCCTCCAACACTTTACTCCAGAACCTTTAAAAACCTTTCCCACTAACAAGTATAATGAGTATTTTAATTCTTTAACTACTTTTTTTGTGTGTGTCTCAGAATATCCAGGCCTTGAGAGGTTTGTGGCCTTGAATTCCTTACCGGGGATAAAGACATTTCTCTACCATCCCCCCCCTCCTCCCCCCCCCAATAGAATAGTTTGCATAGAGGAAAATCAGAGTTTCTTAGTACTTTATACATAAATTTAGACTTTAAAGCTGCATATCCTAGTAACTCAAATTCCTAAACCACTTCCCAAATAAAAAGAACATAAGATGTATTTAAGGGCAAGCACAGATTTGGACACAGTCAGCAGTGCTCTTACTGTCACCAAAAAAAGTAGTCAGGTTGGTGCTTGTGCTCTGTCCTTTCCAACATGCTTCCTGGTGACAATATTTAGTCTCAGTTTCTCTTTCTAGAAATGAAACTCAAGAGCCCAGCTGGTTTTAGTTCACAGGACACAAAGTGACTGCCCCAAATGCACAAGAGGCCCTCATTGCTCTCACAGAATTCCATCTCCAGCTGGCCTTACAGACACCCTTCTCTGAGAGATATCTGAAATGAATGATGGTTTGACCTGTCTCACGATGCTGGGATCAGACCAGACAAGATCAGACCAGACAAGACAACCAGTGTTACCACTTCCTTCCAGCTCCACGCTCTTGGCCATTGTTTGGGATTTAGGTCAGTGTCAATGGTTATAGATTCCTCTTTCAAACTCCAGAGGAATGATTGTCAGGGTTTTTAATGTGGACTAAAATTGTAGTCATTCCCTAACATTTGAACTACTTAACCATCAACTGAAAAGAGACATCTGCTGTTACAGATATAAGACACAGGCAATGTCATTCAGAATGCCTAATGTTTGGCAATAACACACCAAATAGAAAATAGTCTTTTGGGGAGATACAAAGCAGGCTTAAATGTTGCTAATACTGTGTACCAGCTCTGTACACAGTAACCTGCCATTTTCCATCTTCATACTCTGCTCCTAGAAAACCTTGACTGCAATTTAGTCCAGGAAAAAAAAAACAAACCACCTTCCACTGAAATGCACATTTCTGTACTTCAGGTTTTGGATGTGGGTTTACTGGATGCTCTTGTTTATCCCACCCTTTGCTATAATTACAAGTATTCAGAAGGTCCTATACCATCTTAATTTGTTCGTGCCACCTATGTAGTCACATTA